TAACAATTTTGATAAGACATCGAGTTTATATTCAGTGAAATATAAAGAGATAACAGTATTTAAGCTCAAAACTCCATTAAACATTACAAAATTGTAGCAGAGCAATTAATTTCCAATTTCCAATTTTCCTCTTAAAAAGTTTGTTTGTTGATGTTTAAATACTGTAGAAGTACTTTTTTTCGCGTGGCATTAATTTACCTTATGTACGCGGTCACAAATTCTTCTCGGAAATTGGTCGTACTTCATATGAATGTAAGGCATATAGTGACAGTCTAAAAAATTCACTTAATTTTCCACACGCGGATTAAACAGAAATTGAGATACCGCGGAATTATGACCCCGTGAAAAATTACGTCTACAGTATTTCAATCGACATGTTAATATCGCAAAGCGAAATGTCATAAGCTTAAGAAGTCTTAAGTTAATATCGTGTGTTTGACTTTGTATTTTACGTCAGTGGGCGGAGCCTATTGAAAGTAACAAGGCAAACCTCGTGTAATTTAAATGTTTTAGACGATATTAAATTAAAATTTACAATTCTATTTCACATTGTCAATAGAATCAATCACTGTCTACTTTGTTGGCACTTCAAGAATATTTGGTAAAGTGGGATAAGGTGTGGTAATTTATGCATAGTGGATTCCATTTTTAAATAATACTATGTCTTCCAACAATCGATATGAATTTCCATGGGTACCAATTGCGCCCCGTCATTTGCACACTATTATTGTATTCCTTGGAGCAGAATTCAAACGGAAATCTTTTACGAGTAAGAAGAAAACACTTGCTGTGGCCTTCAACTCGACATTTCTATATATTGACGACGTAGTTTAACTTAACAATAATTATTTCTATTCTTATGTCGATACTATATACATGTATCACGGTGAGCTTGAAATAAAAATATAAATGGCAGAGTCTAACATAAAATACTTTAATGTTAATATATCAACCACCCTTTATGATAAACGCGAGGACTTTAGTTTTTGAATCGTCAACTTCCCCTACTTATGGAGAAATATACGTTTGTCAACTGTATACGGAGTATATCTCTCAGTTGATTCGATACGGTAGAGCATGTTCCACGTATGAACAATTTTCCAAAACGTGGTTAGTTTTTGACTATTAAGCTGATGAAGCAAGAATATCAGCAGTCTCGTTTAAAGTCATCATTTTGTATAAGTTCTATGGTCGATACAATGACCTTGTCAGCAAATACAATTTATCATTGAGTCAATTGCTGACTGACGATTTTCATACTGATTGATTGTTAGACCATTATTTACCGACTGAGATGTCTCCGAATTTTTTATCCGTTATTTCCCGATCATGACAAGGAGCACATGGTGGGTGTGACCGGTCTCCATGGTACCTGATCTTGCCTTTGATGTTTTGGAGGTCCGTGTTTGCTCTGCGATTATTTGGTATTGTTAAATGGAATTTTGAGCTCGAGTACTGTTTGTTATCTCCACATATTTCATTTCAGTAAAATCATTAAATGCAAATTACTAATGACAAGGTGAAAAAAAATTTACACTTACGATATCAGTCGTCACATTAACTGTAAACTAAAGCTTAATAAATTTAAGATTGATGCGAAGGGAAGGCGCTTATTTTTTTCTCTTTTTTGAAAGAAAATATTTACGTCGACAGTTACAAATTTCTTTGAAGTTATCTTTACATATTGATTACATTTATCAATTTCGTTCTTTGCAAACAGCGAACCTTTCAATGTTTATGCATTAAATAAACACTTATGATAAGAGATCTAATCTCTGCTTAGATTTCCCGCAGTGTTGCTTCTATTTTGAAATCGGTTAATTTGTGTAAATATATTGACTCGCTGTTTGATACAGATGCTTTAATTAAAAACAACTCTTAAGGCCATTTAGCGATTTGGCAAATATTTCAAAATGCACTAAGTGCATGTTTCCTATCAGAGGAAATTTGAACCTTTTTATTTCTTGATTTTCTCTTTGAATTTGATTTTCAATTATTCTAATATTTATTCATTTAGTTTTTTTGCTACAGTGTTCCAAGTTTTTATGAATCAGCATGTATGCAATGTATGCAATGTTAATTGCATTTGAAAACAAGAGGCCCATGGACCACATCGCTCGTCTGAGAATTTTTAAGCATGTTCTTAACCAGATTTCCCCATCCTTTATAATACCTATTTCGGCCCCACCATACATGTGGGTCTTGATTTGTACATTTTAAAATCTGAATTACCCTTTCACAAATGTTTCAGCTTCTCTAGCCCAATGGTTCTTAAGAAGAAGATATTTAAAGATTTTTCCTATAATTTTTTTTTTTTGATAAATTTTGGATTTCCTATTGTGGCACCTTCCTTACCCCAGGGGTCAGATTATGACAATTTAGAATCTACAATACCCCATAATGCTTCCAAATAAGTTTCAACTTTAGGGTTTTTGAGAGGGGAACTTTTTAAAGATTTTCTTATATATTTTAATGCAAAACTTGAATTCCCTGTTGTGAATACGCCCAACCCACGGGGTCAATACTTTAAAAGTTTACAATTCACACAACTGCTTGGTTTCTCCAAGTACCTTTAAGCTTTTCTTGTCAATTTTTAAGTGTTGTTCGAGAAGATTTTCTTATAAGTCTACCTTTTTGGTCTTTTATTAATTATTTCCCCAAAGTGAAGGGGCTTGATCTCTTTTTCTACAATTTCAAACTCCCCTTTACCCAAGGATGGTTTTTACTAAATTTAGTAAAATCGTCCCAGAAGTTCTTGAGAAAAAGTTGAATATGTGACGGACGGACTGACAGACAGACAGAGGACGAACAATGGATAATCAGAAAATTCACTTGAGCTTTCAGCTCAGGTGAACCAATAAATGGTATTTTCTTTCTCAAGAATACTTCAAGAAGTATTATATATTTTTGAAGTACCAAAACAATTGTTATCAAATTCAAATTTAATGTACAATTATTCTGGACAAGATACAAGAGGGTGTTATTTTTTCTTCATAGAATCCTTATGGTTTATCTTCTGATAAGCCTAAATCACAATCATGTTGACTTAAATTAACAAACATTTTAAAACTAGAGTAAAATCAGAAAAGAATCACAATTATGAAATATTTTATATACAATATTAAGAGATAAAAATCATATATTTAAGGAACGCTATGTCTGACCTAAATTATATCTACTATAAATAAAGAATTTAATTATTGATTTTCGAAACAGGAACACGTACTCCATTGGTCATATAAAAAGAAACATTATGTATCTTAAAGTTTCTAATTTCTTCACGAATGTTTATGATGGCTTTCTTAAAATGAATAATTATTATCAGTTGTTTTTCATTGCATTCTACATGTAATATGATGAACACAATAATTATTACAGTAACTTTGGATATTAAGATATTAAAATGTTAACATTTATTTAATGCAGATGCATAAAGAAACTGTATTGAGTAAAAAAGAATGTAAATTTCAAAGCCCTGTTTAACCGATTTCTCTGATTATAAGGATAACAATCAGCTAACGCTGATATCTATATACAACCAAGCCTGTTTATCTCACATTACAAGAAAAGAAGATAATGATACTTCGACATTGAAAGAAAAAAACATCTATTACTCGTGCTTTTGAAATTATAATGTGAACGTATGTTGTATTGAATCTAAATACTTTTATTTCAGAATTTATGCAAAATATTATGAGTGAAAAGAAGAAAACACTTGCCGTGGCTTTCAAATCGACATTTAGATATATCGACGACGTATTGTCAATTAATAATGATAATTTCCATTCCTACGTCGATACGATATATCCTGGTGAGCGTGAGATAAAAAATAACACAGAGTCCGACACATCTGTTTCATACTTGGATATTTTACTTGAAAAAGACTAATGATAATCTAACAACCAATATGATAAACGTGATGACTAACATTTCTATCGTCAACCAACTTCTCTTACTTATGCAGCAATATACCTTCATCACCTGCATACAGAGTATAAATATCTCAGTTGATTCTATGCCTAAGAGCATGCTCTACTTATGAACAATTTCTAAAACGAGGTAAATTATTGACAAGCAAGTTGATGAAACAAGAATATCAACAGTCCAGTTTAAAGTCATCATTTCGTAAGTTATATGGTCGATACAATGACCTTGTCAGCAAATACAGTTTATCACTGAGTCAAATGCTGACTGACGTTTTTCATACCTATTGTTAGTCCATTGTTTATACAATGAATTGACGACAGATTTTTCCCGTTAGTTCCTGATCATGACAAGGAGCACACGGCGGGTGTGACCGGTCGGCAGGGGATGCTCACTCCTCCATGGCACCTGATCCCACCTCTGATTTTCGGGGGCCCATGTTTGCTCTGCTCTTTTTTTGTATTGCTTTATGGACTTTGAGATTGGATACTGTTCGTTATCTCCATATCCTTCTTTCATATGACAGGCGGCCTCAAAAGAAAGACTCGTGTCTTTCACTTCTTGTTCATGTTCGGATCAATTGTTGAATGAACTTTCAGCCTATGTTGATCTGGCGCAGAAAAGGAGAATCGGGGGAAAACAACGCCCTATCACTAGGCTACCGTGACCGATAATCTTGATGATATATAATATATTTTACTGTGTTAATAGCCAATATTTAGCCTTTTAAAATTTTCGTGAAGAATATGTTTTTGATACTAGTACAAGAAATAGGTAAAACGTATGATGTACTAAAACATAAAAAAAATGGGATATACTCAAAAATGATCTTTCGAACAAGTTCTTATGTTCTGATGAACCCTCTGAGCTTCTTTCGATTTAGTCCTATGACCGATTCAGATTTCTTACTAGTGAAACTTTGTGAACATGGTTTTCCCTCGAAGCATTGAAAAGTTTCAAGAAAGTAGTAAAAGGCTAGCTAAAAATCTGCTGGGAAGAATCCTTTAAACAGTAAGAATTCTGACAATTTCAGCAAAAAGGATTTTCTTACATACAGTAAAGAGTGCAGTGAAAAGCAAAGAAGACATAATGATTACACTGGGTTATAAACTTATCATCATTATTATGGACTTCTGCATTCTTTCAAATGCCCATTCTCTAGTTACTGGAAGTAATGAGGCGAAAACTAAGGATGTCGATATCCTCAGACAATTGTTGAACCAGGAGTCTTTATTCAGAATAGCTCTGACCAAAGACGTCGAGAACATAAAACAATACCTTTTATCAAAACAGAAAGAAGCCACAAACCAAGAAAATGGCATTTCAGGAATTCTTCATTCATCGGAAGAGGGGAATTCTATTAACTCATCATTTTTTCAGACTCTTGCAGAGAACGTCAACAATCACAAAATAGAGGAAATGAGAAATGAAATATCTTTACAAAGAGAACAATTTTCAAAATTATCTGAAAATTTTACCAAGCTTTCATCAGTTCTCTTAAGAGGCTTTGAGAGACTTGAAAATATGAACGTGACAATAAACCCGATGCAAAAGATTGCTGTGTTGGATAACGACGTTCTCGGTAAGCAACAAAAAAATTACAAAATAATCTATTGCAAATTAAGCGTCTTCTTAACTCAGCACAAAGTTGAAATCTTATGAAAACTTTCAAAATAAAATTAATATTAATTTCTAGATGAAAAAAAGTGCCAAATAGTTTACATTGCACTTGCAAAATTGTAGATCTGTGATATTTAAAGTATATATAAGGGGCATTTTTTGTTAAAATAGTGATATTGGTGAAAAAAAAATAAATTAAAGATACCCTTTAATTACCAATCGACCTACAACATAGGAGACCCTTAATGTTTAAATGTATCACATGTACAAATTAGGCCCTAGCTGTAAAGATAAGTAAGAAATTTGATGGAACGGCTGAATTCATCCTATTTTCCAATACAGGTTTGCTCTTATTTAGTTTTTATTGTGAATACTCAGTAAAACATCTACATATAAAGCAGAAAAATAACAGACTCTGAAGTTTCAAGAAAATTAAATGAAAATCAATTAGATAAACATTTAATGATTTCATTTGAACATGGAAGATATCGGTATAATCACAATGTACAAAAATAAATATGACATATTTTTCATTTGAAAATGTTAAATGAAGATATCTATGGCACGCCAAATTCACAAAAATGAGCTAAACCTAGTTTCACAATTGATAAACTAGGTTTATCGACTGTAAAGATAGTTAACAAACCATGAACTATAGTTAACTATAGTTTTCATCTGTAAAACTATATTTAACGGTTGTTAACTATAGTTTACGAATGCTAATCTAAGTTTATTTGTCTGTAATATAATGTTAACAATAGATTTTGTTGATAATCATAGATTCACGTCTGTAAACTATAATTTACGATCGTTAACTATTGCTAAGAGTTGTAAACCATAGTTTACAAATCGTGAAACCGTATTTATCAGATAATCTATGTTTTGCGATCGAAAATGATTGTAGCATGATATTGTATACCATTTGCTATACCGTTGTCTATTACTAGTATGAGATTTAAGTTGGGATTATTCAGTTTATCTGAACACTACATGGGTCTTTAGGCAGACTGACCGGTGAATAGGGAATGCTTACACGTCCTAGGTACCTGTTTTATGTGAAGCATAAAAAAAGATACATATACGAGGGGTGATCAAAAAGTTCGCGAAGTAATTAAATAACTTCCATAATAGAAACTATATTTGGTTTCAGTATTAATTATATTTTAAATCAGTCCTCTCCGATTTTAATGCACATCTGCCATCGTTCTGCACATATGCGAATTACGTGATATGAGCGGGCATATGACCCCCTTCCTAGCGTTTTGTCACAAAAACTGAAAGATTTTTCTGAGTTTTATATTTCTTTCCATGTAAGTTAATTTTTAAAACAAGAACAGTTCATTTGTCAGAAATGGTCAATTCTCGGTAACAAAATGAGTGGATAAGAATATCCTATCTAAAATAAGCATGTCGACCTTCAAAATCCAAATTTTCTGTCTCGGGAAAGACGTTTATTCAAGGTGGAGAGAGAGTGTTGCCTCCTTTATATAATAACTAAAATCTTTAAAGTCTAAAGTAAAAGATATCTTAGAATTTAATAATAATATTGTTGTTGAAATATTAAACTATTTTTTAAAGTGTAAGTTGGGGGTTTTTGTTAGCAAATTCCTTAATTAAAAACACATCTCTATTCAAACTTGCTTTAACTGGCCAACATAACAAGTATCATTTCTAACCATCTGCCTTCCTTCACTAAAATGATCAATCCAATCATTGATTGAATTTATAGGAAGTCATGTGTCTTAATAAATTATGTACAGAGTATTATAGGCAACTTCTAAGGGATTTCTAAGATATAAATGTACTTTAAATTTTACAGTTTCTTGAACGAGTAAGACTAAGAAAATTGACCTACATAGTGACGTCATTTTCACATTGTGACGTCACAAGGAGCAAAACTTTATTCAGCATATGCTATTTATTGGAGTTGTGTATGGCTATGTGTGTACCAAGTTTTTTTTCTAATCTGAATTGAGGTTTTGTAGATATAGAGGTAGTTCGCAACCTTTGTGATCACCCCTCTTAATATTAGGTCATTAAGCTTTTTTTCTGCAGAAGTCTGGTTTCTTTCTTGAAAAAAGTTTAAATGCAGAGATCTTAACCTGTCTCTGTGTGTATATTTTTTGTTGATATTATGGAGTTAAAACTAATAACCCCTCATTTTAAAATGAATCTAAAAGCCTCTGATGTGGTGTAAAAGTTTAACATTAGTGTTCCGCTTCACGAAATACCAATAGATAATTTGGTGTGCCATTTACAACCCACATTCTTGACGATATCGAACAAATAGTAATTGTGCATGAAGGATATGGAGACAACGAACAGTATTCAAATTCAGAGGTCCATAAAACAATATAAATAAGGAGCAAGGCAAACACAGTGACCTCCAAGACATCAGAGTTGGGATCAGGTACCATGGAAGTGTGAGCATCCCCTGTCAACCGGTTACGCCCGCCGTGAGCTCCTTGTGATAATTGGGAAATAACGAGAAAACTCATCATTTATTCAGTGTATAAAAATATACTTACAATTTGCATGAAAAGTCAGCATCTGACTCAATGATAAATTGTATTTGCTAACAATGTCATTGTATCGACCATAGAACTTAAGAAATGTTGACTTTAAACGAGATTGTTTATATTCTTGTTTCTTAAACTTGCTTGTCAATAATTTACCTCGTTTTAGAAATTGTTCATATGTAGAACATGTTTTTGCGTACCGAATCAACTGAGATACATGTATATAGACTCCGTATGCAGGTGTTAAAAGTATGTTGCTGCATAAGTAAGGAAAGGTGACGATAGAATAGGTCATCACGTTTATCATGGAGCTAATTTGTTTGATTACCGAAAATGCTATGTTTTCTCTATTTTTTATGTCAAAGTATGATTTCTTTATCACACTTATACTATAGATCATACAAATTCTATGATACAATTTCTATCAAATTATATTTATATAATAGTGTTGCATTATGCATGTACTATGCCTAAATAGTAGGCAGGGTTTGACACATGGTGCACGAGCCGGAGGCGAGTGCACTATGTGTCAAACCCTGCCTACTATTTAGGCATAGTACATGCATAATGCAACACTATTGTTATTATTATGCTGACTGTTGTAATTATTTATGCGGCAATCTATTTGACTTTTTCCTGAAAATATATCGGTGCTTCAACAGCGCACTTGCAAGAACTCATTCAAAATATTCATGCTAAAATTGTTTGCATGCTTAGTTATTTTGGTTACTAGTATTTTCTCTAAATAAGTCGGGATTTTCTGTCCCAAAGCAACACATCTTTATTTTCTGTTTTCTTCGTAAGCCTTATTTGTTTGCAGACGTCGATTCTCATTGATAATTTTCTTTTACATCCTTCAATCAAGCGTCATATAAAAAAGCGTTTTAATGACCCTATAAAATCAGTTCATCTAACGATCTGTATGTAATTAGTTTGAAAGTTTGTTGTACACATTAATCTAAAGTTCCTTAGAATAATATAACTGTTTTCAAATAATATTTGTCTATTTTCTCCTTCTTGTGTCAATTGTATAAATTAAGTTTATATATTTGATAAAATTATATAAATCAGTGATAGTCTCTATGGCGTAATCGATAAGGCATCGGACTGACAATCTCATGGTCGTGAGTTCGATCCCCGGCATGTGCATGGAAGAATTTTATTCAGTAAATGAAGCCGTGCACTATTTCGGCATAGTATGCTTACGCTATATAAATCCTTAGACCACTATGCGAGAATAGTAGGGTATGGGTTATATAGAGACAAACTGACAGGAAGCATAATAATTCTCAATAGCCTGGTTATAAAGAGAAACATCATGGTCAAGGCTTTTATTTAAAAGTCGAGAATTTGTCGTGCGTCGACAACTGACGTTTAATAGCCTTTAATTATAATCTTATAATATTTAGTCAAAATGAAGGAAACATCATTCCCAGCATTGCGCCAAAAATGAACAATTTTGATAAGGTAGGTTATGAAATATTTAAAAAGTTTTCAGGGAAAACTCTGATATGGTCTTATTTTTCTCATACAAAACAAACTACCTGACTTGACCCTAAAATAGGCATAAATCATACATGTAGTTGAATTATTCTAATATGCAAAGTTATATGATGTTAACGTGTCCTCAATTAATCTATTCAACTCTTTCTGTGTTTTAGAGACAACCAAGTTTTTTTAAACTGTAAGTTACAAGTAACGTCATCGGGGAGGTCACGGAAAAAAAATAATAAACACAGTTTTATTGCTTACCCATCGTGTGCAAATATATCTTTAAACTATTAATAAAATTATATATATGTCAAGCATTAAAATGCATGGTCAATGGAATAACATGGGGAAAAATTGAAAAATATAAGCGGAAGTTAGTTAGGCAAGTTTAAAGATTGAAAAACCAGGATTTAAATTGGAAATATCAACCTGTCATGGACTTGAGATCTAATCTGAAAGTTGAAGTAACCAACTTAAAAACTGCTATTATCAACTTAGAAGCTGAAATTATCAACATAAACTTGAAATAATCAACTTTAATGTCGATTTTTTTAAAGTCGGAACTAACAAAACAATGCTGTAAAAATCAGGAAAAGCCCAATAGTTTTGCCATTATTTTTAGATAAAAGATACAGGGACTGCCAAGAGATTCTCAAGGAGAATAGAAGTCTGATGAACCAGAACGGTGTATATACGATTTATCTGGGATGTAACAAACCAAGGAAGATCTTCTGTGACATGACAACGAATGGAGGGGGATGGACGGTATAGTATCTATATAAATAGAAAAATTCTCTGAAAACAGATTCGGTATATGTATAAGTACATGCGAGGGCTGTTCGGAAATTATTGAGACAATTACATTTACTTCTTAAAGGACGGAGATAATTTCATCAAAATTCATCCACATCTTATAAAGAACGACATAAACACTTAAGCAAATTTTCTAATCCTACGATAATTATAAAAGTTTCTGTGAAGTAATAAATACGCATATGTCTATCGACCCGGAGCAGCCTCGCTACGTCATTTAACGTTACGTTAGACGTAGATTGTTTCGCATGTGAAACGATCGGCAAGCGTTTAATACTCTTCCTTTGTTATTACATATATAACATTACCAAAATCAAACAGTCTCTTTCCTTAAACTATTCTTTAAAAATGTATGCTGTTGCTACCCCAATCAAAATTTTTTATTTATGGGAAAGGATGACTTAGAACCATGCATTGCAAATTTATGCAACGCGGGTTAAATACCGTAACAATATCAATACTGTAATTAACAACTCATGGTCGTCCAGATCTTTTAATTTTACTCTTGTTAAATTAATTGCTAAAAAATGTATACCAATGAAATAACAAACCCTAACACATCATTTTTTTTCTCGTTGTTATTGTTTTATCAGGTCGTTCAGTCTTGCAAAGAGTTCTGCATTGCGCTACACAAAATTTTAGGTATGCTAGCTGCTCCGCCCTTGACGTCAAAATCCATTTTTTTGTTGTTAGCAGATTTCTCTACCGCGCTTATTATTTTTTTATCCCCGTACTTCTGATCAAAATTCTATCAAAGTTGCACAACATGAATTTGAACCAAAGCTGAAATATTATACACTTAAACTGAATTATTTTCGCTCTCATTATGGATCCACGAAGAGTTAGAATTTTGGGGTTACATATTTTCAATATCTGATTCCGCGACTGCTCCGGGTACCCCTACTATTGACACATTTATATACCATTGTAGAGAAAATATTTAATAATTGTAAAATATGTCTTGCTCTTATTAATTTTTGTTGTTTGTCAAACGTATATGCCAATTTTCACTGAAAGACGTTCATTAGAAAGCAAAATATACACAATGTCTCAATAATTTTCGAACAACCCTCGTATATAGAGATAACGAACAGTATTCAAGCTCAAAAGCCCATTAAACAATATAAAATAGGAGCAAAGCAAACTAGGACCTCCAAAATATCAGAGGTGGGATCAGGTACCATGGAGAGTGAGCATCCACTGCCGACCTGTCACACCCGTCGTGTGCTCCTTGTCATGTCAAGCTGGAACGGTATGACATTACGTCGGAAAAGTGATAAAAAGCAAAAAAAAAGTGCATATTAATTATATTAGGTTTTTTACAGAGTTTAAAGTAGTTCTTGATGCACTGGAGCCTACTCGTCGAACCAAAATCAAGTCCTATTGGTCTAGTAACTGAACAGCTTAAGGAAAACAAAATCATATGTTGTTATGCAATTTGTTAAATTAATTATATACATTGTCAGAGAGGAACAAGAATGTTTTTCAACCAAACGTTTCGGTGACGTTGTCGCTATTAAGGTCATCTAAAGAGAGCGCTTTCCATCTTGCCACTTGTATTATCTGAATGGTATTACGTGTATCACTGAATACAGTAGGCAACAATAAGTATTACACTCACTCTGAAATTGAAAGAAATACTTTCTTATTATTTTAGTCCATCAGCGCAGCAACTTTACATCAGTGATACTTTTACTCGCGCACATGTAGGCCTAATTATTTTGCATGTTCATCTTAAAAACTAGCATTAATTTACTTTGAATATGTACCCTGAGTTTCTTTTTACTTTCAATGTGCATTTTTTGTCAGTTTAATTTTATATAAAAAAAGATTGGAAATATATACAACTGTAGATACGTGTATGACAGGTGATACAGAGGAGATTTGATGGATCGACAGATTTTAACAGAGAATGGAAAGACTACAAAGAAGGTTTCGGAGATCCTAACAAAGAATACTGGTTAGGTAAGATGAATATAATTTTAATGATCAGTGCTGACAATGTTAAAAATAAGAAAGATTAATATATATACATTTTTTAATTTTTTTGATATTGCCTGTTTGCATTTAGCATGGATAATCGAGGTATTTTACATTTAAAATGGGGGATTTTATATTTTTAAAGGGAATGACGCAATACATGATCTGACCGATAGAAGACAAGAAGAATTATGGATTGACCTAGAAAAATTCTCTGGTTCGTTTGTGTATGCTAGATATTCAAACTTCTCAGTTGGCAGAGAGCAAGACAAATTCCAACTGTCTATTGCAGGATACAGTGGAAATGCAGGTAAAATGTTGCATACTTGTTATGTGTTCTTGTATGGCATCATATCAAATGACTTTGTCAGCAAATACAATTTGACATTGATTCAAATGCTGACTGACGTTTTTCTTTCTAATTCTACCGTTCACGGTAGCCTAGTGGTAGAGCGTTCGCTTCGTGATCGGGAGGTCCGGGTTCGATTCTCGTTCCCGGCGCCGCGTCAAACCTAAGACGTAAAAATAGGTAGTGACTGTTCCTTCGCCAAGCGCTCGGCATTAGAAGTGAATGTCACGGGTCTTTCGGATATGACCTTAAAAATGTAGGTCCCGTGTCACGGTAGGCGCTGGCACGATAAAGAACCCTCACTGCTCAATGGCCCTGAGTGCCGAGTAAGGGTCTAAGTTTGAAGCCCTTCACCAGCATACGGTGACGTCTCCATATGAGTGAAATATTCTCAAGAGGGACGTTAAACAATCTACAATCAATCAATCAATCAATCTTTCTAATTCTAAGTCCATTATTATTACAAGAATTGAATGCAGATTTTTTCGTTATTTCCCGATCATGACAAGGAGCACACGGCGGGTGTGACCGGTCTACAGTGGATGCTCACACCTCCATGGCACCTGATCCCATTTCCGATGTTTTAGAGGCCCGTGTTTGCTTGCTCCTATTGTGTCTGTTTTATATACTTTTGATCTTGAAAACTGTTCGATATCTCCATAAGTTTCATTTTGCGGAGAATATTATGATTATTTCTTGAAGTACAGCTCTATGATTTTTCCGTCATTATGCGATTATGACAAGGTACATACGTCGGATGTGACCGGTGTGCAGCGGATGCTCACTCCTCCATGGCACCTGATCCCGTCTTTGGTGTTTTGAAGGTCCGTGTTTGCTCTGCTCCTAATTTGTATTGTTTTATAAACATTTAAGCTTGAATTCTATTCGTTTTTTCCATAAATTATTTTTCTCATTGGTTCCAAGCTCTCTGAATTGCTCGAACTTGAACACACGATCAAGTATATAACAGCATAAAGACTTGTGTTGAAATTTATAGATTCTGAAATGCATGTCAACTTGATGTTTCAAAAAAGGAAACAATTTGCTGTTAGCAATAGCTAATGTCTTGATGTTTCTGAAAAAGAAAAATAAACTTTATATTCTATTTTCAATTCTCATGTTCTGTAATTGGTACGACGTTACAATGCCTTGAATAAAAATCTACTTTATATTAATATACAATTATTGACTTTTGATGAGGTCTACTCGTGACTATACAGACCTGGTCAGGTATTGGTTGACCGAGGCCGAAGGCAATAACCGTTTTATTAAATGATGAGGAATTTTACAACACTGCTGACTCTTTCATTCTTGTCTCCATCAAATATAAACATCCATAATGTAAAGTGTAATTACACTTTTTACATGTTTATATACTTCAACAGCTAAACAAATATTAGTTTAAAAGTTAAAAACAATATTAATAAACAATAAATACTCAACCATTTACTTTCAAAAGTTCGTAATCTCCTTGGTAATGGCGTCTGACATGTTTACATTCACACCGACACATGCTTTGAAACACGCAATCTGATTGGTCGAAAAAGCTGTAAGCAAATCTATGGTTGGTCGAGAGGGAATTAATTAAAACCCGAATAAACCTCCCAGAACGTCATACGAGGTGAACTCACTCTGAGGTACACACCAGTAAATGGCGTCTAGACCAATCAGAGAGCACCAAAATTCCTTATCATTTAATAAAACAAATTACAGAATGTTTTTTTAAAAATCAATACAAAACATAATAAAAAATGTAGACTTTTAGATTATTAAATTCCCTTAATTACTCTATTGATATAAGGGGAAAACAATTACATTAAACACCCCGATTTTTTTTTTGATCTATAGTCTTTCAGTGTTAAAAAAGACAAAAAAGTAAAGCTTGAACCCCTTATCTTCAAATTTTGTTTTGTCAATCTCAGTAAAAAATAATTTTACAAATGGTGCCCTTTAATTCGGTCAATCCATGAATATATCGACTTCACAGAAAAGCAAATCGACTTTCCACTTCGTGCTCGGTCGATATATGCTTTTCTGTGAAGTCGATATATCTATGGATCGAACTCATCAAAGGGCTATATCTATATAATATTTCTTTCTAATTTCTTATTTTGAGGATGTATTTTCTGTAAATTATTTTAAGAACTCTGTAGAATACAAGCAACTTTTAGAAACTGTAAGAATACTATTAACGTCTTTTCAAGTAAAATATCAAAATGCGACAAAAAGGTTTCATACTCTGTGGCGTCATTATCACAAGCCCACCGAGATATAACGTATCTACATAAGAATGAAAGTAACCATTGTAAATTTAAAAAGACGTTAATGGTAATGTAACAGCCAAGCTATATGATAAATGTGAGGCCATATTATTTCCAATCGTCAACTTCCCTTACTTATTCAGCAATATACCTTCATCAGTTGCATACGGAGTAAATATATCTCATTTGATTCGATACGCAAGAGCATGATCTTCGTATGAACGATTCCTAAAACGATGTTTATCTACAAACAAGTTGATTAAAAAAGAATATCAGCAGTCTCATTTTAGATCATCAGTTTGTAAGTTCTACGGTCAATACAATGATCTTTTCAGCAAATATAATTCATCATTGAGTTAAATGCTGACTGAAGTTTTTCTTACTTATTGTTAGTCCATTATTTATACATTTCAATTGATGACGAATTTTTCCGTCATTTCCCGATAACAACGAGGAACACACGGCGTATGTGACCGATCGGCAAGGGATGCTCACTCCTCCATGGCATGTGAATCCACCTCTGACGTTTCGGAGGTTCTAATCGTTTTATGGACTTTTGATCTTGAATTCTGTTCGTTATCTCTGTTTAAAGAATTAATAGATCTCTGTTGTGTTTTCCCGATGTCTACATAAAATTTCACAACTGCTGTTCCACTTTTTCCTAAAACGTCATTTTTTTTAACATTGCCTACTTAATTGCAATTTTCTCAGTCATTTCGAGTACTACAGTATTTGAACGTTCAAATTTTTCAGGTTTTATGTTATTATTTCTGTCAACCTAATACTGTACAAGTCATCCAAATTTCCACGGAAATTTACAAAATATACACATGTAGTGATAAATTACTTTTTAATTAAATTTTGCCGTGCTCGGGGTCATCGTCCCAAGCTTTATAATCCATTCATAATTGTAATTTTACGTTTTAAATTGAATATAAATTTACATTTTGTATGATAAATATGCAAATTATAAATATGAATGACACAATTTTTATTAAGATTTTACTTGTCCACGAACTTTACGGACAACCCACCTATACTTACAATAATATCAAAAAAGAAACACTGCTTTATTAAACAGCGATATAATATTCTACATATAAAATTTATATGTTTTAGGGGACATGATGATACAATCTCATTATTTGAATGGAATGTATTTTACAACAAAGGATCGTGATAACGACCGTCAATCAGGTGTTAACTGTGCTGTTGAGTATCGCACTGGAGGATGGTGGTACAATAGCTGTGGATATTCAAATCTCAACGGTGTCTACCAGACCTCTAATAAGGAAAACTGTAAGGGTGCTTTTTGGGGAGGAAATTGTGATAATATGAAATCTGTTAAATTGATGATAAGATCAAAATAAAAAAAAATTGAACAAACTGCAAATGAGATCTGTCTCATTTATTTGAAAACTATCAGAAAAAAACTTCAATGAAGAAAGTCATATTATTGTACTATAAATAATTGATGTGACGCAAATTTTCATTTTAGTTACTAAAGAAAATGTTTGAGCTAAGCTATTAGAATATTTATTTATTGTATATTAATTATATGTGTACTTTGATTGCGTTCATTCTGCACTTTTACAAATAAAACATGAACGTAATTTCTCTTCTTTTAATCTCTTGCTATCACTGTCAAAGTGGGTTTGCTTACACGAAAAAGGATTGGGCGGATATGTGGTGAATAAATATTTTTTATCAAGCAATAAAGAATAGACTCAATTAAATATCTTAAAGCATAAGAATGAAAGAATGAAAAGGACCTTGCAACAACCAGAACAGATACAATTGCCTTGATGAGATATAGAGATAACGAACAATGATCAAGCTGTAAGTCCATTTAAACAAAACAGAGTAAACACAGACCTTTAATTTCAAACTTAATTGAATTTTTAAAAGTCATTTAAAATCCTCATACATAGGACCAGTCTCTTTGCCCTGCAGCGGATTCGAACCTACGATGAAAGAATCAGCTCCTTATTCCACGACTCTTCAGATGTCTCTCTAACACTGCGCCACGTGGTTGACTTTAAATAGTTTAAAGGCAACCATTAATTAAGTTTAAAGTTGTGATTTATCATTAATGCGGTTGTTTTGATTTTCGTTTCAAATAACATGAATAAGGTGCTCCATAAGATTGTGAATATTCTTGTACTTTGACTATAGATTAATCCCTCAACCTGATAAATGCGAAGGATGTGACCGATCAACAAGGGATATTCACTCCTTCTTGAAAACTGATTCCACCTTCGGGATTTCAAAAGTTCCGTACTTCATGCCCTCTTCTAAGATTTGTACTGTTTTTTTCGTATTAACTTTTCAAATTGTTCATATCTTTGCCTATTCGATTCTTTCCATGTCAAAAAATGGGGGGGGGGGGTGCATATCAAGTAAATAATGGGTTTTAATATTTTAATTGATTTCTTAATTAAAACAATTTCTTTGTGTTCCTCGTTAAATATCAGTGCCAGTATGGGTTGCTTTCTGGTACAAATGTATTGATTAAATTACAGACATGGAATACTTGTAAACAGAAAATATTACCAGGTTTGATACAAGATGTCATCTGATTTTATCGATTTGAGATCATCAACGGTTTGGTATTTTCGCCTTTTGTATTCGAATGTTTAAAAAACAATGTACAACATTTTTTATGATCGTCAACTTAACTCTGCTCAATAGAAAATGGCAACAAATGAACTAACAAATTCTTCAAGAATCTCCGATGAGAAGCACATTCCAAACTGCGATAAACATGAGTTGCTTTTCAGTGGGCGTATTTGATTTGCCAACTCTAGTGTCGTGTCGGGTTGATATTGAGCATGCGCACAAACAAACACAGTCTCTTTTTATTCAAACGACAAGAACGCAACTCGAGTGCATTGAAAATACCCAGACAGTGTTTTGCCTATATTTTATTGGTGATTTTTTGAAAAGCAAAGAATAAGGCGATATTAGGAAAACGACAAATATATTGTTTATCTTCTTCTGCCTAAAATCAACGAATAAAAGATGTAATGTAGCCAAAAATTCTGAGTGATTCAATATTTTTATACGCTCTCGTCTGAAATATTAGCCAATATCCTTATTTAATAATTATAATGATGATTTATTTCTAAACTCTTAACCAAACATCTGCCTTGCCTCACTTTCCTTCCATTGTCAATGTTGGCAGCCATCTTTGTTCTTGCTCACTCTTGTAAAATTGGAGAGTATGTTAGTGACCTAGTTATACAACACGCGCGTCGTGCTCGAGGTGTTTGATTTAGAAATCCGACTCGAGAGTTGCAGCTCGTGTTTAAATCAAATACGCCCAGTAATTTTTGTGAGGACTATGATTAATTTATTTGTTCTAAATGTGCTAGATCTGACCATGATGATCTTAACTGGGATGTCCTATCAACAATAGCTAGCAATCGAAAGAGACAGCTCACAGATTTTCTCAAGCGTATCAAAGAAACTGCTAGAAATTAATGAAGAAATTGAAAAAAAATTAAATCAGAAGAAAGAGTGGAATTCGTTGTAAATCAGAGATTGGGGAATTCTAGAGTGATGATATCAAAGTATGTGGGGATTGAAAGATCGTCTTGAAAAAAGAAATCTAAAAAATAGTTTTGCCGAAATATCCGAAAAACCGAATCTTGAAATGAAAAACCTGGAAAGTAAGCGAAATCTTAGAAATGTTGAAAATTCTTGGGAAAAATGATAGTATGTCTGATAACAACTTGATATATTACCACAGAAAACTGACAATTGTTTCTGAAATAAATAAAAAATAATAAGCATAGGAATTTAGAATGTTCAATGAGATACAAGCAAGGAAATATCATCAATGGTTTATCTGAAGATATCTGTGGAGAAACTTGGAGATTAAAAAAAATATATTACCAAAACAAAAAAAAATTCTAATTCGAAGGGAGAAGATAAGATTAGTCTATATTATGGAATCATTGTCAGGTGCAACGAAAGAATACGACTGCCCAGTTGACAGGTCACATCTACCGTGTTTGTTCTTTATCATAACTGGATAACAGGAAAACTCCATATCAAATGACACATAATGAGATATCAATAAATTACTATAAAACATTGACCTAGCAATTGATACAAAACATGTCAGAGATAGAATACGACCAGAAGATGGTGAAACAGATCGGTGGCGTCTTATCATGAACGATAAACAAACAGTCATAAAAGTTTTATTTCGTTTTTTTGTGTTGCTAGTTATAAGGAGGTATATAATAAATTATCATTACAACATTAACTTAAACCGAAGAGCCATATCACGTCTCGTTGACAGGCGCGGATCATCAGTTCAAACTCGACGCTTCGCGTCTCGTTAGATCTGATCATGATGACCCGCGCCTGTCAACAAGACTTGATACGGCCCTTCGGATCAAGTTACTATTATAATAATGTGTATACCGTAAAAGCGCAAATATTTGTGGAAGATTAAATTTCGTTTATTTCGTTGTTAACAATTATCAACGAAAATAAACCCCACACGAAATTTTATGACTATATATTGAATAGGCTTATTCTCAAAACAACGAAATTAAATGACCACGAAACTTTTTTTGATAACAAATCGACGAAATTTTATCCCCACGAAAATTTGTGCTTCTACAGTATATCTGGCAATGAATCTGTGTCGTAAAGGTAGGCGCATATTTTGGCAGCGATTATATTTTCATGCATAGTTTTTCAGCTTCAATGATTAATAATCTTAAAAATTGTCAACTTACATTAAACATACTATAGTCATGACATTAATACTACGTTTTATTACTCAATAATAACATTTCTAACTGATTTAATGATCAGAGAATTGTTAACGTAACATTTTTACATCTTCATTTTTTTTTCCAAAAAAAAAAAAAAAAACAATTGTTACACCAGCGTCTCTTGCAGTGACCAAAGATGCCGACTTAAAGAACACAATGTGTTCGGTTTCCACATTCCATGCTATACACGCATGTGTAGTTTTCGCAAACAAAACAGCATGGTAAGCGAGAGAAGCTCGATCGGTAGGCCTGCTTCACTGAAAAAGTCGACCAAAATACAAAATTGGAAATAGGGCTTTGAAAGCAATTTTTCCTAATAAAAAAAAATTAGTTGAGAGATTAATATGATCATTGGATGAAGACACGAGGTCTTCATCCAAAAAGACAAAAAGACCGCCAAAGGTCTATTTTGGGGATCAAGTGCTGAAATCAGTCAAAATGATGATAAGGTCAAAATTAAGATCCCCATACATCATGTGAATCTGTTTGAAGTTATTGTTTATAAGAATTTCAAAAAAAAATTATGAGACCTTGATCACAATGTTATAAAGATTTTGTATATTACTAGTAAATGTAAAGCTTTGATTTATCAAAGTTTAGGTTACCCATGAATGTTTGATTTGATATGCTTTACAATTGATCAATTGTATAATCATAAAAGATTTGTTTGCATCACATGCAGAACAATATTGTTTCGTCGATATGAATGAGAATTGTAAAATGAAACATAAACATAAGGTTTTAAAAGAGTTTGTATCGACAAACTTAGAAATTAGAAATGGTGATTTTTTATGAGACTGCTAATATTCTTGTTTCATCGACTTGTTTTTCAATAATTTATCTCGTTTTAAAAATCGTTGATACTTAGAACATGCTCTTGCGTATCGAATCAAATGAGACATACATGTATACACTCCGTATGCAGGTGATGAAGGTATATTGCTGCATAAGTAAGAGAAGTTGACGATAGAAAAGTTCAAGTCTGTGTTATTTGGTGAGACACAAGGAAGCGTTGTTTTTGTGAGCTTCCCTCCATAACAGCAGATAAGATTTTGAAAAACTCTTTTGCAGTCTTCTTAAACCCGTCAACTGCTTTTCCCTGTTAGAAAAATTTTAAAGATAAAAAATATTTATGTTTATGAATGAAAATGTGATATATACCATCTCAAAAGGTTTTTCCTATGAGTCCAAATGCAGGATATGGAGATATGGAACAGTATTCAATCTCAAAGTCCATAAAACAATACAAAACAGGAGCAGAGCAAACAATAACCTCCAAAATATAAGAGGTGGGATCAGGTGCCAAGAAAGAGTTATCATCCCCTGCCGCTAGGTCACACCCGCCATGTGCTCCTTGTCACGATCGGGAGATAACGGAAAAATTCGTCGTCAATTCAGGGTATAAATAATGTACTAACAATTAGTATGAAAAATTTTAGTCAGCCTTTGACTCGATGAAAAATTGTTTTTGCTGACAAGTTCTTTGCATCGACCATAGAACTTACGAAATGATGACTTTAAACGAAACTGCTGATAGTCGTCTTTCATCAACTTGATTGTCAATAATTTATCTCTTTTTAGAACTTATT